CTCACTTGATTAGAATATGATCGGACAGCGCTACAGCTTGTAGAAGTAATATTCTTTGGTGAAACCGGGAGATCTTCACAAAAATCGAGCGTCTCACGGGCAGAGCTTCGGCTCGGGAATTTCACTTCTCGGGATCTTCAGGGCTTTAGGACTTGCTTCGGGTCTCAGGAATGATATCGGGGCTTCGAGGTATTTCTTGCACGCAAAACGAGGTAAAAACGCGAGATAAATGGAATAATAGAGCACCAAAACTCGGCAGCCCTCAACATCTATTTATAGGGTGCTGGAAGAAGGATTATGTTGGGCGTAATCTTTATTTACGTTGGGGGTAACTTGGATAAGGTCGTTGACTACCCCCCTTTTGGATAATATCGAAAATTATAATTACATTTAATATTTTAATTATTTAATAAACTTCGTTTAGACTCCATCGGCTAATTTTGACTTTATTTTTATTATTTATTTTTAGTAGGCCAGCACAAGAAAACTTCGTTATAAATTCATAACTTCTTCATCCGACATCTGTTTTCGTCTGTCTTTTTACAGTTGCACTACTATCAACAAGATCTTCACTTCTCGCTTAGAATTTTTCGGCTAAAAACCGCTCGATCTCAAATCGAGTATTCGGACTGCATACCGCTAAGTCGAAACATAGAAAAATCATAACTTCCTCATACGAAGTCAGATTTGGACGTTTTTTTTATGCACGCTCACAGTTTAACAAACTTTACTACTTTCATTTAGATTACTAAGGCTAAATATCGCTCTAATGTAAATTCACTTTTTACATCATTCAGCGTCATGTCGGTTCTGTCGCGAAACTTCGACAGGTCATAACTTCTTCGTTATAACTCGGATTTCGACGTTCTTTATATGTACGGAACCCTTGTAACATATACTACAACTTAGTTAAGATTATTTCTTCAAAATAATCTTCCATCAAAAAGTCATTTTTGACGCTTATTGTCCTTAAATTGAATAGCCCTAATTTACGGGCGTTACAATTATCTCCCCCTTAGGATGATTATATTCCGGAATCATAAATGAAATAGGATTCGTATACTGATTCCATACGTTATCTCTCCATCCTAAGTAATAAGCGTGATGCTCAATCTTTCATCTGCTCTTCATACTATGTTGGACTTTCAATCGTAACCTTCAAGTTACAAAATAAATCCTTATTCTAGACTCCTTCTTCTTCTTAGGATAAATACATTCCTTTATCTATTGTAACAGGCCGATGGGTCGTGTCCTGATGACCTCTCATCGTAGTCGGACTCAATTTGATATGACCACTAGGGTCGGAATAAGAACCATCTTATTAGTCATTACCGAAACAATGGTAACAACATACTTGAATAAAAAAACGAACTCAATTACAAGCTTCTTGGTAACCTTGTGACTTTCCCTGATCCAAGCATGAGTCCTGTGCTTCCAGTAGTATAGATCTCTACTACTATTCACACCTACTCATACTCGTCCCAAGTATTATCTCGCAGTTAACCGAGTCACCATACAAAAATCACACAATCATTTAACCATCAGATAACAAAACCAGGGTTTATATTATATCTTTGAATGGTTACACAAAAGTTCAAGTTCACCTTATACTATACCTCTAATAGGCTACATCATAAGTTACTATTCACACTGCTACTTCATAACTTGATCCTTGGATATAAAATCCTCATCCTTGATTCGCTTCATCAAGGATCATGTGGAATGTCCTTGGCTGTGGCGGTGCGTTTTTCTTTGCAGGTTCGTCCTTCTTTGGGCAGTTCTTCGAAATATGTCCACCATCTCCACATTCGTAACACTTCCTATTGTCAAGCATACAATCTCTGGAATAGTGACCGGTCCTACCATACTTATAGCAGGTCACTTCTCCATCGCATCTTCCGAAGTGCTTCTTCTTGCACTTCTTACACCATCTTGTTTCACTTCCTCTTTCTACTCCTGACTTTAGAAATTTGCTCTCTTTGTTGGATCTTGAACATCCTTCAAACTTTCTTTTCTCGCCCACGTCAGCCTTCTCCAAATTATTTTCCTTTATTTGGGTCTCGACATTCTTAGAAGCCCATATTGCGGCTTTCAGAGTGGTCGCTTGCTTGACTATCGAACCAAAGTCCGTTGGTAGTCCATTAGCAAACTTGTTGACCTTGGAAAGTTCAGTTGGAATTAGGTATAGAATAAGCTTCATCTTCTCCGTAAAGCTTGTAGCGTATTCAGTGATGCACAATCTTCCCTTCTTCAGATTCTGGAACTCGTTGTTGATTTCCAGAAGATCCTGCTCAGAGCAGTATTGCATTTTCAATTGTACTACGAACTCTTCCCAAGACATCTTGCTAGCTTCCCCCTTGGGCATCGAACCAGCCAGTAACTTCCACCAGCTCAATACTCCAGACTTTAACAGAGGAATTGCAAGAGCAGTCTTCTGTTTGTTGCTACACTTGCAACTTTCAAACATTGTCTCCATCTCGGAGATCCAGTCCATGACTTGCATTAGTGTTGGGCTCCCAGAAAGACACGGTGGTTTGGATGCCATGAAATCCTTGTACTTGCATCCACGTCCATCATTTCCTCCATCCTGATTGTTTCGTCTATCTAACAGTGGCTTGGCTTGACCAATGGTCCCACTATAGTTCCCTCCTTCTGACTGCCCCTCATTCAGCTCAGGCTGTTCAACTGGTGTTGAGGGTTCACTCCTATTGTTTAGAAACAATTGTCTCATTTCCTCTTTTTGTTCAGCCATCATGGCTTGAAGCATGGTTCGCACTGCAGCCATTGTGATTGGTTCAGGTGTTGCTGCTACAACAGCCACTCGCTCAACCACAGGTGGTTGATTCCTGTTTTCGTTCACATTTCCAGCCCCACTCCTGGTTCTTGCCATTTTTTTATCTATACACCAAATAAGGTGATTTTAGATTACTAAGGCTAAATATCTCTCTAATGTAAATTCACTTTTTACGTCATTCAGCGTCGTGTCGGTTCTGTCGCGAAACTTCGACAGGTCATAACTTCTTCGTTATAACTTGGATGTCGACGTTCTTTATATGTATGGAACCCTTGTAACATATACTACAACTTAGTTAAGATTATTCCTTCAAAATATTCTTCCATCAAAAAGTCATTTTTAACGCTTATTGTCCTTAAATTGACTAGCCCTAATCTACGGGGGTTACATAAAAGCTCTGTCACGTCGTGGTGATGCCTCTAACACGTCGTGGCCAACCGAAAATCCCGAATATTTTTAAAATCATACTTCAAAGATATGAATGTTATAATATATTTATTTTTTTGTGTTGCAGAAATATATAAGAAGGTATTAGTTTTTATAATTATTATGCATTAAACTCCGAATTAGTGAATTACCTAGTTTATTAAACAATGAGTATAATAATTAAGTTTTTAATCCATAATTTTATATATAGATATGATTTGGAAGGAAGGATGATTGTGGCAGGTGACACAGGTGGTAGTCGCGGTGTGTGGTAGTTGGTCGTGGTCAGTTTGGGTTTGACTTCTGTAAATATGTTAATTAGTGTCTAATGGCTTGTATTAAGTTGTGAATATTATATATTAAAGTAAAAATTAACTATATTAACTTGTGTATTTTGTATAAATTTTTTGTTAAAATATAAGTAAATGTATGCCTGAAAATATTAGACTATGAATTAATATGTTTATTAAATTGTGAATATGGTATTTTTGAACTTTGAATGTCTTATAAACTATATATTTTTAAAAAGGGAGAAAATTGAATTTGTAAGGTATAATTCTTTTTTTTTTTTTTGTATAATTGACTACAAAAATGAAAATGTATGTGTTCAAAAGTATTACAGGAGAAATTAGAAATATAATGTTGGTTCTATTAAGTTGTGAATACGACCATAAAATACCACTAGATATGGCGTTAGTCCAATGACGATCCGACAGTAGTTTGATGACAAGTGGCAACTTGTTGTAAACTATAGAAGGGGAGAGTTTGCTTCATACAATATTATTGTAATTTGTCCAAAATTCTCATTTTTTGTTCTCATTTGAACCACTATATATATATATATATATATATATATATATATATATATATATATATATATATATATATATATATATATATATATATTCTCAAAGATGTGCGAGACCTCGAGAATGCTTAATCTGCTTAATGAAGGTTCGCTTGATCGGATACAAAAAAGTATAAACGCAAACAAAATATGATATAGAAGAGCAAATGAAAAGAAGAACAACGATGATAAAAAAAAATATGGTTTTTCACTAAGAAAAATGTTCTCACAAAGAGAACAAGTGCACAAAGCAGTCACAAAAATGATCACGTCACACATATAGTTTGATCCTAATCACTAAGATTTTGGATCAAATATCTATTTAAAGATTTCTACAATTACAAAGTGTCTAAGCGACTAATATAAAAAAAGGTATCGAACTATTATACACAAGGTCACGCTTTCGCTGATACTATGTAGATGTTTGCATTAGCACGTGGACTTCGTGTGAATGATGTTTGACTGATCAGATCATAAGGTGTGACCTTACAATCCCCTCCTATCTGATGATGTCAAAACTAAATGTCAAAGGAGTCATCAGGTGAATCTTTAGAGAACGTATTAGCTTCTTTCAAAATTTCTGGCTTTATCTACTTAGATTCATCAATTTGAAGATCTTCTAAACGTTTGTTGAGTTGATGAGAGATCAACAAATGGTAACATCATTCAAATTCTTTATGACCCATGCATTTTGTACGAAGACGAAACAAATGCTCAGTAAGAGCAGTAGTAAGGTCATCGGTGTGTTGAAAGCACATCTGATTTTGAACGACAAGATAAAAGATACCATGTTCTAGACATTCTTGGATTTGGAGTTGTAGATGAGGGAAAGGGATGAGAAGGACCAGTTTAAGGCACTAAGTTTATCTTCTTGACTTTGTTGACTAGTTGTTGTTGTAGTGCTAATTTCACTTCTTGAGCATGAATACCTTTTTATTTACCAATAATCTCCTGAATTTGGATCCATTCGTTGTAGCCGTATTTGACTAACTCACGAGAAAATACAACTTCAATGTATTCATACTTTGTCTTCATTCTGACCAGATGAATCTTCAGTGATTCATCCTTGGGTTTAGTACACATGACATTGATAATGGGATCAAGCACAGATCTTCGACCAATAACTTCTCCAAACTTCTTTTTGTCAATTTTATCACACAGCTCAGAAACCCTTTTCTTTTGGGCAACAATGTTGTTGAAGCGTTGAAGATATTCACTTTGAACATTTAGTCTTCCATCAGTAGAGACATGCATCTAAGCAAGATCAGTGGAGCAACGTTTTTCGTTATCCTTTTGTACTGAAGTATTGTGCTCCAACATGATTTCCCTGACTTCTTTTAACGGAAGTCTTCATTCCTCAACCAAATCTTCCAAATTAATTGCCAGCTTTCTTTTCTTGGAAGGAGGAGGATCCGAGAAACTACCAGGTGCTGAGGAACGACTAGCTTTAACATTATAAGCCCCCCTGAGAAGAGATCCTTTATTTTTCTTGGAATGAGCTGATCATCAACATAATCAACATCAATATGACATCCCTAAGGAATCTCCCCCTATAGAATGCATCAGGATAGATGACATTTAGAGGAACAATAGTTTGTGGCAGGAAATCCATATCCAGAAACTTTCATAATCTTCATTAGTCTTAGACTAATTTTTAGTGTTTTCAGGCTCAGGCTATGGTTCAGATAGACTAACAACAACGATATCCATATCTTGATTTATCCCCCCTCCCTTTTAGCATCATCAACCCGAGGAGATACATGAGGAGTGTTATAGGGAAGAGAGGGAGTGAGAGAAGAAGGATTTGATGGAGGAAGAGGTTGAAATGATGGAGTAGGTGGAGGATGATTGTTACCAGATGGGGGTGGAGAATGATCATTTTGAGGAGAGTTAGGAGGAGTGACTTCCATGATTTCATCATCTTCAATCAGGGCAATAGTGCATTTAATTTAAGACACATCGCTCTTAACTTTGGTTAGTATTTCTCCAAGAGATTTTGTCAGTTGAACCAAAAAAATATAGGTGAGAAAGAACCATTGTTTGGAAATCAGAATTGGATTCCCCATGAAGGGCAGCAACATCTTGAAGGGGAAACGGCAGCGGGAAGGTAGTTGTAGCTTGTGGAGGAGGAGACATTAGATTGGAACCATCAACATCATGAATCAGTGGGTCATTTTTTTCAACTTTATGTGAATTTGATTCAAGTTGTGTGATAGGCTTAGTAGAATGTGTTGATGATGATTAAGAGGTCGAAGCAATGTAAATGTGGTTGTTTAATCTTGGATGGGAATTGCTAACCTGTCTCTGAGCTGACGTTTTGACCATGTCAGTATCAGTTTCGCTATCATTAGGATTTTCATCTTCATTATTAGCATCATCTTCATCCATATTGTTAGGCTCTCACCCCGTCCTCTGCATGAGGACCGCCCCCAAGCCTGTGATGGATGCATCACAGAACACCACAAAATCCTCAATTCCCTCCAGGAGAGTCAAAACTGGAGCCTCGCACAAACGCTGACGGAGGGTCTCAAACGCCCTCTGCTACTTAGGTCCCCACTAGAAATCTACCCCTTCCTCGTCAGACGAGTGAGGGGTACTGAAATCTTGGAGAAATCCCGAATAAATCTCTAGTAGTACCCTGTTAATCTCAGAAAACTCTTGATATCCAAGGGAGATCTCGACACCTCCCACTAAATGACTGCCTCGAATTTGGCCGGGTCGACCAAAATCCCCTCCTGATTAATGAGATTTCCTAGGAACTGGACTTCTCACAACCAAAACTCACACTTCGAGAACTTAGCATACAGTCGTTCTCATCTCAGAACTCCCAATAACTCCCTGAGGTGCTCATCGTGCTGCTCTCGGGTCTTGGAATACACAAGATATCATCTATGAACATGATGACCGAGCGATCAAGCATCGGTTTGTAGAACCGATACATGAAGTCCACAAATATTGATGACGTGTTGGTGAGCCCTAACGGCATCACCACGAACTCGTAATGACCATAACGAGTCCGAAACGCGGTCTTCTCCACGTCCTCCTCTCTGACCTGAACCTGATGATACCCCGACCTCAAATCAATCGTGGAGAATCAACATGCACCCTACAACTAATCAAAGAGATCATCTATCCTTGGGAGTGGAAACGGTTCTTCACCGTTAACTTGTTCAACTCCCTATAATCAATGCACATCCGGTGCGATCCGTCCTTCTTCCTGACAAAGAGGATCGGTGCTCCCCATGGAGAACTGCTAGATCGAATGAAATATTTGCCCAACAGTTCCTGCAGCTGTGATGACAACTCCTGCATATCTGGTGGCGCCAACTGGTACAACGCCTTGGCGATAGGAGCCGCACCTGGCACCAGGTCGATCCAGAACTCGATCTGCCTCTCCATAGGTATCCCTGGCAACTCCTCCGGGAATACGTCGACAAACTCCCTAACCACTGGAACCTCTGATACTGAATTCTGATCTCTGGCTCGCGTATCCACTACATACGCCAGATAACCTGCACACCCGTGTTGAATATATTGTTGAGCCCTGGCAGCTGAACAGAACTCTGATCCCATTCTGGTGCCCTCTCAATATACAATCAGTTCTCCCCCACTTGGGGTTCGAACCACCGCTCGCTGACCCTCAAAATCTATCATAACACCAAATCAACTAACCCAGTCCATCCCAACAATCACGCATACTTCCGTCATGGGAATCAGAATCAAATCTATCCTTGGTGATAGCGACTCGCAACGGACACTTTAGCTCGCCTATTGGCACACTGAACTCCCTACTAAATGTATGAGATACGAAAGATCGACTCAACCCCTAGTCAAATAGAACCAATGTAGGAAATGAGTTCACTAAAAAGATACCTAAACACAAGTACAACAATTAAGCATAATACAAATATAATAAATGAGATAAAGGATAGAAACATACCAACAACTACATCCAGCGCTGCCCAGGCCTCCTTGGCTATAAGTTGGAAGGCACGCCCCTGAGCCTTCGGAGGCTCCGCCTTAATTGACCTCGCATCCCCAATCCTCAATTTATTCGGGGCTAGAACCTACGCCGGCCTGGCTGCAAGCTGAGGACATTTGGTCTTCACGTGACCAACCTAATGACAATGATAGCATATCCTCATATCCGATGCAGGGGTGGACTGGAGACAGTCTCTAACATAGTGCCCCTCCTTGCCACATTTGTGGCACCCACTACCCGCTCAACCAACTCCAAAATGACCCTTGTCACACTTTCCACAAGTGCGTCTCTGTTGACCCCCTGTCTTAGAATCAGCGGTCTTAGACCGCTTCGATGCCGACTGAGACTGTGTTGGGGCCTGACGCTACTCTTTCAATTGCAGCTCAATCTCCAACTCACACCGTCTAGCGACCTCATGTAGATCCAGAATAGTATCACATCGTTGTGTGGAAACAAACTGATGGATGTCCATCTTGAGCATGCTCAGATAACGAGTCATTTGAGCCTGATCAGAAGCAAACTCTAGGCAAAACATCACCCTCTTAGTAAACATGCGGGTGATCTCCAACACCGACTCCCCGTCCTGTCTCAAACTCAAAAACTCTTCTCACAATTGTTCCCACTCAACCTGTGGAATGTATCAGGCGCGGAACATATCCATGAACTACTCCCAAGTAACAGCAGCTCTCTGATCATCAGTGTACGACCCAGTCGTCAATCTCCACCAGTCCTTGGCCCCGAACCTAAGCAGGTTCAGAGCTCACCTGACCTTTTAGTCAGTAGGACACAAGCAAGTAAAGAAAAACCCCTCCACATCAGAAATCCACCTCATAGCCTTGATGGGGTCCTGAGTCCCATTAAAATTAGGGGCTTCGTGTTATCGATAGCCCTGTCCTGATCCCGATTCGGATCCAGACACAAAACGCCTCGTAACGACCATACTAAAAATATAACAGGAAGATATTAGACAATCCGCATAAATAATTGGGAACCAACTCCTGACTAAACCCTAGGGTTTGTGACTTCCTTGCTACATGTAGGGGTCCTGTGATTTCAGTAGTACGGGCCCATATTACCTTCCACACCTACTCATATTTGTCTCAAGTATCATCACAACACCCTAACACTATACATGCATATGGTGGTTGCTCGACCTCACTCATTCATGAGACTTCCACCGACCCCTGCAGCACTAGTTTATGCTAACCATACATAACGTTGGACCCTATAGACTTTTGAATATCGGATCCTACTCTAAGCGCTAATCGATAAGAACAGAACATAAGGCCAAATCATACATTCCCAGGCTATAAGATCTTAATTATGTACAACCGTGATACATACACCAGCAACTACAGTAATGATGTCAATCTCATATAAGGAAAACCATAGGCTAGCAGGCATCATGTGATCGGACAATTCTATCATGAAATTCCTAAAAATCCCTAGCCTAGTACTAACATGTTGTTCTATCATATCACATAATCAAATAACTTTATGGTATTTTGGGGTTTACTTACTGGATCCTGCTGATCGTACACCCTGCATCCTCCTTTACTTATTTTGAAACCCATTTAAAATCATTTTAAAAATCTTTGCTTGATTTGAGACTAGATGTAACAACCAAAATTTTCCAACTGATTTAAACTTTTTCAAAAACAACCCAAATACATGAATCATTACAAAAAGGTTTTCAATTTGATTATTATCAGAGTATCCTAGAAACATCAGTGTAAAAATGAGGAGCGGTACGATCACGCAATTGCCTTGCCACGATCTCCTGAAGTACCTGAAACAAAACACTGAAACTGTAAGCCCGAAAGCTTAGTGAGTTACCCCAAAAATACCAACCACACATGACCATAATCATACATATCACAAAATAGAAAAGCCATGCATATCGAGTCTACAGTGTGACTGGTCCGCCTGCACCGGGCCTTCAGTCCACCTGGTCCACTCTCCGAGTCTAACCATGTATATTGAGTCTACAGTATGATTGATCCACCCGCACCGAGCCTTCAATCCACCTGGTCCACTCTCCGAGCCGCAACACGTCTGGACCGTCCTCTTGGGGACTTCAGCCTATCCGGACCGTTCGCTGGGCCTTCGGTCTATCCGGTCCGCCGTGGGTATGTTGGCCTACAGCACAAAGCAGGATCCGTCTCAACCCAACCCCAGTCAAAGAACCATGTGCACATAAAACAATTAATCACATAATAATCATCATCATCCAAACAAATGAGTCTATCAGATCATACAACATAACAACATC